CTTGCGAGATTCCCACAATTTTAGAGTCCTTCCGTGGTCTGCGAGGGATCAAACGCAATAAACTCAAGTCTCGTAGCAGTTAAACAGTAGTGTATGAGGGCTGCAGCTCAACGCTCACCCCTACTTGAGGCACGGTAACGGAACTGCCTCACATACCACGTGTCATTTCCTTTGCAACGAATTCAGCGACTACCCCTCAGAGGCTGAGAACTTTGAACATGAGTGGACTTGAAGGGGGTTCTTTGTATCAGAAGATCAGGAGGATGACGGAGTGAAGTTCAACTGTGACCCCACTAATCATGAATAGAGGCGATTAGAATAATGATTTTACAACATGTTTACAACACCAAAAGGAAACACGAGACGAGCAATGCCAAGACATCCTTCAACAACACATCGATGGGGCGAGCGTATCAGATATCGAGCGTCCTAGAGATCGGGATCCAAACATGATGGTAGTTTCCAGCGCCACAGCATTCAAGAGCAACTAACTCAAACACTTGACTATATCGACAGGCGCTAAGAAATAAGTAAACGGCATCAATGCGAAAATACCGCCGAACGTTGTAGGAAAGAGAAAGAGACAGGATTGCCACTTTCACATGTAGTGAATGTCAACTTTCATCTTCCCATGTGTAATAGTATACCTAGGCCGGAATGATCGAGGGTCGGGATGTGGGTGCAATCCCGGTTGTCTTCTCGGCCGATTCTGGCTATACACAGGCGGCTCTAACCTCGTCTGGGCCAAGGATGCGAGCTGTGCGTGTGTTGAGTGCCTGAGCCTGTGAAATTTGCAATGACTTACGTTTGGGAATTTAGGATTATGTCCAGAGCCTACCTAAGCTAACGGGGGTACAGTTACTAGGGGAAGGCTAGGAGTGGTGGGTTCGGTTAGGTCACTGGCAGCATCCGAAATGAAAAGAAAAAGCTTGGTATCCGGTAGTGTTGGTAGGTGGCGCACGGCATACAAATGCACATGAACGGAACGTGGATGGCGTTTTCGAGAAGACGCTGTACCTATCATGGAAGTTTGAAGAGGGTGCAGCACAGACACACAGTTGTCTCGTCGGTAGATGATGATGGCTAGGGCCGAATGCAACTGTCCATCCTATTTGGGATCGGTGAGTGGCGACTATTGGTTACGCTACGAAGGCACTAGCTGGTGTCATGGAATCGTTAATGAATTGCCAATAAAAGTTAAGACTTGGCGTTGACACCACTGAACTACAGCGTGCGTACACGCTGTAGACTAGCCTAGCCTCACTAATGTGCGTCTACACGGATTACTGTAAAGGATTGACAGACATGATTGAGTCTTGAACTCTTGGTGAGGCTACTGCTAGCACTTATATTAAGTTTAGTAGAATAAAGACGACACTACTAGGCCTCAAGGGTATATAGTAGCCCTAATTAGCTGGGGATCAGTCGATCATCTTGAACTCGGATTGTACTGCACCCATGAGGACGTTGAAAGTAAAAATAAATAAAAAAGAACTCCGTGGGGTGCTAGATAATTAAGTGTTCGCTGAAATAAACTGGACTTGACTGAACTGAAGATACGACGATCCTTGTTAATACGCTCAACTCCAATTGGCCATATAGACGTCGGAGGCTGGCCGTGCAAAGTGGATTTAGGCTCATCAAAACCTGCAGTAGTAGGCTTGGTATGTCGCACAACTGGACTCGATGGCTTTGAAAATGCAGATGCAGATGCAAATGCAAATGCACACGCAGAAATCGAAATCAGGATATATTAGACTATGGGAGTTCGCCTAAAACGCCACCATCTTTGAGTGTTACGTATAGTTATCATGCAGGCCAGGTTTTGTTGCTGGATAAGAAGAATTAAAGAACAAGACTGAACCCTGGAAAACTGATGTCATAACTGGTGGCTTAAGCCTTGTTGAAAAGTATCGGTTAAGATTAGAATCGAGAAAGGAATACCAACGTGGTCCGACGTTATTCGGGGCGTCGTCCGGTGAGGTCATCACCAAAAGTCGCTTCTCACCCAAACTGGGAATCTTTGTCGCAGCAGCTGAAGATTGCCTGCCCCTGTGGATCCCCCATGTGTCAAACCGTTCCGACTTTTAGTGAATTTCCATATTTTTAAATTCTCCTGTAGTGGAATTGGAATTCGGAACGGGCGCTGGACAACCTACTGTGCCGTTAGTCTACCGATGAGGCTGTCAACTTTGACACCCAACTTTCTACCGCCCACACCAGGAACAAGCACTGAAATCCAACGGATTCGAGACCAGAAAGCATGCCAATTTGACTTCGGAACCTACCCGGAACAAGCCTAGATCAAACCCAACATGCAGGGAACTCCACTATCCAATCAGATGAAATTGACCCCAAGTCTTGTAAACGGCTTCTATCTGCCGGGACTTGAAGACTAAAAGAAACACACGAGGCGTACTTGACAAGTTAAGTTCCCGTTCGCCATGCACATCAAAGAAACGGTCCGGCATGCCGATGCCGATATCGATATCAATATCCTTACACGGATGACATACAGCTACAGTTACTTACTGCCACACTTACAGCCATTGATTCTTGGCTGCTCAAGCTCAAAGCTATTTCCATGCGCACGGGTTATCCGTAAATCCTATTCACATCACTACCGCCGTTACGGTACACTACCTATTACAGTCGCTGATCTACCCGGTTAACCCCTGCAACTCTCTTGCCCTGGGTTCGGGTTCGATCCCAAATCTATCACTGCACCCAAATTCTATCCCACTTCGCTTCATGGTACAACATCATGTCCTCCAGTCTGCCAGTCCTGGCTCCCCGGCTTCCGGGCTGTCCGCCACCGGTGGATGACAGGACATACACAAAAGAGCACTCTGAAGATGAGTGGGAGTCCATGCGTGAAATCATCAAGAAGCTTTACATCGAAGACAACAGGAAGCTAAACGAGACCATGGCCATTCTGCAGGCGAGATATGGTTTTGCAGCAACGTGAGTGGGATAGCTAATTCTCCCTTCCCCAGAAATGACCCGAGGGGTTGGAAAGAAAAGCTGATTCGTGGTTCAAAGAGAACAGATGTTTAAGAAGCGTCTAAAGAAATGGAACTTGAGAAAACGTACCTATCGAAAAGGTACATCTAATAATTCTGCAGCGCCCACTCCTGTAGCAGAGGTCGAGATGGACACGCAGGTAAAGATGGAGATGGACACAGAAACAAGAGCCGAAACAGAGGACACTGAGACAACATTTGAACATTCTGGTACAAGTACTGTCGATGACCATGACTCCTCTTCGTCTTCATCTTCAACATCACCAGAAGAGCACCAAGATCAAGAAGACACAAGCATGGCAATGACCCTGGTGCGGCCTTCAAATACAGGGTCATACGCCAATCTCGAGCAAGTCCTCGGCAGCGTCTTCAATTGGAGTCAGTCCAAGTTAGAATTCCTCCCCAACATATCAGATCCCATGTCCGCGTACCTGGCAAACCCAAACTCACCCCCTATTCAGGACAGCCGCACAATGTACCGGATTTTTGAGCTCGTTTTCGACCTCTGGTACCATGGCAAGGGAGATCTTGCGGGGATGGCTGCACGACGAGGGTTCTACGTACTCGAGTTCGTTCTAAGCGAGGACCACCCCGACCTAATCTGGCACGTACTAGATACGATCTTCGATATGGTGGACAGGGGGCATCTTCAACTCATGGGCCTGTTTGTGGAACATGCGACAGTGCTTGCAAAACGACAGCTTCCCGCCCAGCATCCTCTCCTTCTCATCCTCCAACAACTACGAAATGTCGATTACCACTCGGACGAGGGGCGGAGTTACCTGTGCCACTTACTACGCCAAGCCTGGCTACGAAACGTCGATCTTTTGGGGCAATACATCGAAACGTCAGATTCACATCGGCTTTGGCTTTACGAACAACTAATATGGGATGGAAGGACACGGCTGCGCAAAGGAAGCGAGCTAGGCAAGAGACAGGAAACCATGTACCAAGCCCTGGAGAGAATGGCTAAAGCGCAGACCCAAACGTCAAAGGCGGTCGATGCGGATTGGTTACGAGTCGAGGCATTGCGACTGGAATTCACACAAATGGATGTCGGCGACAAAGTCAAAGCTGAAGAGCTCGCTGTTAACCTACTCGACCTCACCAGAACTGATTCAGGACCCAGGTCCAACGACCGATTTCACGCCTACGCATGCAAGATGCTGGCTCGAGTGCAGGAAGCGAAGAAAGATTGGGCCATGGCCGAACAAAACCTAAAGCATGCCATATCTAAGAGAGAGTTAGCGCATGGTGGCGACAACAACTTGCGCGTCATTCGTGACATGTGGGTGCTAGCAGCGCATTACCAGAAAGCTGGACGAGTAGCGGATGCCAATAACATCACGGCTGATGCTTTGTCAAGAGCACAGAGGTTTTTGGAGCAAGGGATGGAATGAAGCATCTGTCATACAAAAAAGCCACCGGGGAATTTCATGTAAACGCATATACGGACGGATTTGGAGAAAGAATACGACTTGTTGGTTGGCTGAATATAGTATGACACGGAGATAAACCGGGAACAAATCATGTCTCGGGTTGAACCTTTTTGCATATCACCAAGATCTTTTTTCTCTCTTTTCTTGTAATTGTCAAAGGGGAAGGCATAGCGAGGGGGGCTGTATATGTATCTGCCATCTTCCTTTGAGAAGATAATATTGGTTGGAGTTCTAGTTTGAGATACCCAACGTTTAGATATGGAAACAAGTTACTTGATTGGATCGCCACACTTTTGTCTAGCACCGCCACAATGACGTCGACACTTCCGCCCTGGGGTTGGGACAGTTTGAGGACTTTGATTCACAAGCACCGCCTCTATCTCTCACTCGTATCTGCAAATACAAGCATTCCTACTTTACCTGTCAACATACAATTTGGCATCTCCATCTTGACGAAAAGCGTACAAATTTCGTTCGCTACAAGCCCCTCCTCTGGCTCCTTACCGTTGCAACCTATTCCCCATCGCACTAAGCCATCATGGCTTCTGGAGCTCCCCCCAACTACTGTATGTTCCCATCATGACCCCACTAGATGTAAATGTGACAGCTAACCAAGATCTGCTCAGATGCTATCCTTGAAGTAAATGAGAATGCAAGTACACAACAGATTCGAGATGCCTACAAGCGGTATGACTCTAGCAACATGAATAAGACTGGTGATATCACTAACACATGTCAACAGCGCTGCTTTAAAGACGCATCCTGACCGTGTCGCTGGTGATTCCCCAGAGCGAGCCGAGCGGACTCGCAAGTTCCAGCTCGTTAACGATGCCTACTTCACCCTCTCCGAGCCCACACGCCGTCGTGAGTACGACGCCCAGCGCAAGCTCTTCAATACTGGCACCACCCCCACAGATCCCTTCGATGACATCCCCGAGACAGAAACCGAGGGCGGGGCTGGACCACGCCAGAGCCCATACTCATGGGCATGGAACTTCTTCACCAACCAAGCCACAGGGGGTCAACCCCCTCAGGACCGTGGACAGACCGAGAATGCGCAGTTCGGTGATGTGTTTGAGGAGATGATGCGCGAGGAGGGCATGGCCGAGGGCGGGGATAACCACCCTACCGGCAGATTCTGGAGTATGCTGGGTGGTGCTAGTGGTGGCGCCCTAGGCTTTATCGTTGCCAACGTGCCAGGTCTCGTTGCGGGCGCCGTGGCAGGAAACAGGTTGGGAGCTGTTCGTGACGCCAAGGGGAAGAGCGTGTACTCTGTGTTCCAGGAACTTCCTCAGAACGACAAGTCAAGACTGCTCAGCCAGTTGGCTGCCAAGGTGTTTAGTCACGCTGTCGGTATTTGAAATCGAAAAGACGAGATATAGGTTAGGTCGGGTTTGTTGGGCGTTCTGGGAGTTAGTTTGATATGGGATTGAGCGGGACGAAACGAGTGAAGGACATACCTAGGTAGCTTTCCGGGAATACACGTGTCGTAGTCGAAAACAAGGAATATGTGTTGTTGATATGTTGTCATTAGGACTTGATCACACTGCCACAGCAGACAATTACAATGATACACCCTGACTAGCATCGACATCTACGTATATCAATATGACCAATACAACGTCGCTGTTAATCTGAAGAATGAAGTGACAGACTTGCAGATCAGCAAGCCAGCACTTTTCCCATGCCTGCTCCCCAGGGTACCAGAAAAGTTGGCCACTGGGAGTATAAGAGACGAAATAATAAGCTAGTTTATGCTATTTAGACTAGATGTTTAGGCTATTTGTTTCTGCACCTAGGTAGAAATCGACTTTCTATAACACACTGGCTGCTGCTCGACTTGCTACGAGTTACTGGTTTTGATGGTGCCTCCAGACTTCCTTACGTGTTGGGTCTATAAAACATCACAACTGTTAAAGTCTTCTTGATGCTGACGGACCGAAGTAGAATTCGGCCTTGGGAGATGATTTATAGACTGTTCAATTTAACTTGAACCTTTGTAAGCTATTGTGGCAACGAATGCACCATGATATTTCAACACCATCAATTCATAGCCTTTGAAGCGGCTGATTACCCTATAAACGCAAACCACTTCTAGTCCAATGCACCATCATGCGCCTCAAGTGCTCCGTAATAAAGTTCTTGGCGAGCTTGTTAACACTGATGAGGATGGTAGAGTGCCATGAAGAAATTTCACATACATTTTTGTATGACCCAAACTCAAAATATCGACATTTGCTTCCGGCATTCATGGTCCTGCGGTCCGGCGGACAGGCAAGACATTCTCAGTCTTGTAACCGACATCCTAGCTTGTAGGACCAGTAGAATTACCCTAGTTATCCAGCGTCTACATAACCTATCTTCGGGGAGGAGGCTGGAACCCAGGAGGTGGGGGACCACCCGGGTTGAAACCAGGAGGAGGGAACTGAGCGCCTCCGGGGAAGCCAGCAGGAGGAGGGAAGTTTCCAGGGAAGCCGGGGGGAGGAGCTTGGATATGGTTAGAAACTTTGTGAGTGTATCGGGATGTAGTAAACTTACCACCACGACCACCAGGACCTGGGAATCCAGGAGCACCTCCAGGGAAACCGGGGAAACCAGGAGGGGGAGCGCCACCAACGCCAGCAGCAGGACCCTAGTAATTGTTAGTATTGATGGTGACTTCTCAAGAGAATAGGGGTACACACAGCCAGAGAAGGAGGGGCCGCTCCTCGGCCAGCAGGTCGGGCAACACCGGGACCAGCAGCCAGAGCAGAAGAGATACCGCCAGGCGCACTCTTTCCAAGTCGGGCACTGGGGTCAGCGGGAGGAGGCGACTCAACGGAGAGGGAGATGATGTGAGCGCCTCGAACGATTGTGAGACCAAGGGTTCGCTTTTCCTCAGACTCGACGAGGGAAGCTGAGCCACTTGCGCCAGGGGCAGCGGGCTTGTTCTGCTTGCGCTTGACGCGTCGGAACTCTTCGGTATCGGCAAGGACGAGGTTCATGTGCTAGGTTCCAGTTAGCTTGGGTGATGATGGTGATGATAGAGAAAGATGTTGTACCTTATCGAAAGCAAGCATCTGACCGGTCATTGCTCGTCCATCGTTGAGGGTGACTCGCATGCGCCAGTTGATCTGTTCCATCCAGTCAGCCTTGTCACTCCATCGCAGAGACATGATATCGACGTCGCATGCGCGTTGGGGGTATACGTACGTAACCAGCCTAAAAGAAGAAAGCGATTAGCTATGAACAACAAGCAGTTTTCAAGACGCGTGGAGAATTGAGGGGTGATCATACCATCTTTCCTTGTTTGTTCGACATTTTGGCGGTGTTTGTGAGAACTTGCTGATGCAGTTGCTCAATGTTTCAAAAATTGGTGTTGTATCGCGGTAAGTTTGCGCGCGATCGCAACAACCTTCAATGCCTGGAGCTCTGAAGGTGAGTTATGATGTCCAAAATTTGCGGAGCCTGATGCGGAAGGCTGAAAGGTACACCGACAATGTACACATACTGCACTAGCCCTTTCTGAGGTAGCTCAGACCCACTCGACCCCCGCTCGCTAAAGGGCAGAGAAACCCTCAAATATTTACCACTCACAAAATCTGAAATCTTCTCTTGCAACCTTTGCGATCCCCGACAACTCCAATCACCAGGTCGACTAATAACAGCAGCCATGGCTTCCGAGAAGGCAAACAACCCCATGCGGGAGCTGAAGATTCAGAAGCTCGTTCTGAACATCTCCGTCGGAGAGTCTGGTGACAGACTTACTCGAGCGGCGAAGGTCCTAGAACAACTTTCTGGCCAAACCCCCGTCTACAGTGAGTTTTATCTAATTTTCCAACATGGTGATGCAATTCCATCTGACTGAATTTTCCTCTAAAGGCAAGGCCCGTTACACTGTCCGAACTTTCGGTATCCGACGTAACGAAAAGATTGCTGTTCACGTTACCGTCCGAGGCCCCAAGGTAAATACACAAAAATTAAATCCTCAAAAAATTCGAGACTAACAAATCCCAAGGCTGAGGAGATTCTCGAGCGTGGTCTCAAGGTCAAGGAGTACGAGCTCCGCAAGCGCAACTTCTCCGAGACTGGCAACTTCGGCTTCGGTATCAGCGAGCACATCGATCTCGGTATCAAGTACGACCCCTCCATCGGTATCTACGGCATGGACTTCTACTGCTGCATGACCCGACCTGGTGAGCGCGTCACCCGCCGCCGCCGAACAAAGTCCAAGATCGGTGCCTCTCACCGCATCAAGCGCGAGGAGACCGTCAAGTGGTTCAAGTCTCGCTTCGATGGTATTGTCCGATAAACGGTTGAAAAGGAAAATGGTTATTTGAATTTACGGACTGGTCACGGCGAACATTAGGGGGAAAACTCACATGGGGCTTGTATTTTCTGTTGCCATTGCTGCATCAGCTCGACTCTTTTAGTCGAGCCACGGCCTGAGAGACCGACCGGCACTCTGCCGGCTTTCCGATATTCACTCACTCTGAATGTGACATCTGCCATCAATCGTTAGATCATTGGTACTTTGTCTACTTGGCCTCTCGTCTGTTTACGTCTACGTGAGACGATATAAACATGTCCTTTGGGACTTTGATGCATCACTCTTTGCATGTCTGATGTTGCTCAACTGAGTAGCATCAGCTCTCGTCCCATCAATACGTGAAGTCGTGAACGTTGTAATATGTTGAATAGTTGCCCTTGTGTGATTGATATCACTCCTACCAGTAAGCCTGAGCAAGTCTATTTGTCTGTCTATTTCGACTGACAAAACTCTTGCCCGATGTCTGGCAGCAGATTGCTTGACCGAGAAATCGGCAAAGGCCAGTGGCGCAAGTCAACCTCGACATTCTCTATGATGTGGGAATAAGGCCGCTCGATGAGTCCTACCTTTTGTGACAAAGGTTTAGACTTTCAAAGCCAAAACCATCAAATTCTTTATGATGACGGATTAGCAGAATTTCATAAATACCGTCATGTGTTTATGATAGTTTCATAAGTATATTATGAGCTCCAAAAGTGTACATAACGAGATTGAGGTTCACACATTGTCTCACAGATTGAAGAGAAAGCGATAGTCTCGTTTGAAACTTCTGCGATCTTAAAGTTGATCGCACGTCTATTTTAATTGTAAAAATCAGTTAATTATACAGAATCCAGACCAAATACGACGAATCTCTTTGAAGCACCATTTCACCTGGTATGATACTGGGCAAGGCTTTCAGTTTCGCACAAACATTAGCCGCCGCAGTGCTGTGTGACACTATGGATGCTCTAAATCAATAGGAGCTACACCATCGTCGCGAAAAAAGATGTCAATCAAACATGCCATGGATCAATTGCACCAGTGGAGATGCACCCCAGATTAACGGTATCTGATATCTCGGGGGACACGGGAGTCCGTCATCGGATAGGATTTTAAGATAGCAAGGCAACCAGGACAAAATATTGATAACTAGGTGGGATTAATCTCAGCCAGGAAATCCGCGGAGCAAGGCTGGAGAGGAAAAAGGTTCTCGATCTTGAGTCATGGAAGCTTACGATTGATTAATTGATGAGCGTAATAAAGCCCGCCTCTGTTAGCTTGGCCTTGGTTATAACTTGTGCAGTGTCTTTCCAGCGTTGATTGCTGTACTGTAAGCCTGTTCTCTCGCTGGTCCGGAGCCGGTCACCAGGTCAGCGTAAAACCCCACCACGAAAATGAGAAGCTCTTTGGGCCAAATCTGTGCTGACATTGGCCCGCAGCTCCATTAGAATGTGAAACCGCATATCTCAGGCATAAACTGTTGGCACGTACCCGGGTAATACCGATCGTTCGGCGGTACGGGAGGTCAATGAGATGTATGTAAAGTCGGCTAGTGAACACGAAAGAGGGTATTTGGTATTCAGGGTTTAAGGATCGGATCAATTGATAGGCACAAGAGACACCTGCGGCAACTCTCATACTCTAAACTCTTGAGATTATCCCCGATTTGACGAATTAGACAGAATGTCAGCTCGGTGGGTGAAATGGAAGCTCCGAAATAAAGGCGGCAGGAGGCTAATAAATTGTTAAGGCTACGTCGGAATATCCAGGCAAAAACGCGCATCGAGGTCTGATTGGCTATTCGGAGCACCTTGACCCCACTTCATTCCTCAGAACAGACTCTGCTCTCCATCACCACCCTCCTCAAAAATCTCCATTTGCTCTCCTGTAAAGGCAGCACCGCACCCCAATCTCCCCTCCTCCCAATTGCACCCGGCTGCAATTGCTCTCCTTTCATCTCCAAAACCTCCCGTATACCTCTAATATGTTCCGGAACGCCCTTCGACAGTCGACGCGCGCCGTCGGCGCTGTCTCTGCCGCTGGCAGGGTCGCTGCTGTAAGTTAAAACATGCTCTTCCGAGCCCCGAATCGACAATCCCATCGACCAGCGCTCCCCAGCATCATGCATCCATCGACTATTTACCCCACGAGCTCAATTGATTAGTTGGATTGCCTTTTCAACTGGATTACGAGCTTTTTTGAGCTATTTGGGGCCGCTGTCGCTGTCGACTTGTCGAGGACTTTTTCGGGCTTCGGCTAACCTGTTTTTCACCACCAGCTCCGAAATGCCGCACCCGCCTCCATCAACGCCGCTCGATTCTACGCCTCCGACGCCAAGGCTTCTCCCACCGAGGTCTCTTCCATCCTCGAGCAGCGAATTCGTGGTGTCCAGGAGGAGTCCAACCTCGCTGAGACTGGCCGTGTCCTTTCCGTCGGGTATGTGGATCTACACTGGGAGCAACCGGAGCAAGGCGAAGCTGGTGCACGATGATCTCAATCAACACCACACCGTCGAACCACCCGGATGCCCTGGACGAATTCAATTGGAATCCCATCAGTGCTGACTACGAATTTACAGTGATGGTATCGCCCGTGTTCACGGTATGGCCAACGTCCAGGCTGAGGAGCTTGTCGAGTACGTACTGAGCAAAATATGGAGCGACTTCGTCATGGGCCCCAAAGCTAACAAACGTCAGGTTCGCCTCCGGTGTTAAGGGAATGTGCATGAACCTCGAGGCCGGCCAGGTCGGTGTTGTGCTGTTCGGTTCCGATCGTCTCGTCAAGGAGGGTGAGACCGTCAAGCGTACCGGTGAGATTGTAAGTCTATCATGCAATATCAACAATAAACAACCGCCCAAGTTAACAACGACCCAAGGTTGATATTCCTGTCGGCCCTGAGATGCTCGGCCGTGTCGTCGACGCTCTCGGTAACCCCATTGACGGCAAGGGTCCCATCAACACCAAGGAGCGACGCCGTGCTCAGCTCAAGGCTCCCGGTATTCTGCCCCGAAAGTCCGTCAACGAGCCCGTCCAGACTGGTCTCAAGTCCATCGACGCCATGGTTCCTATCGGCCGTGGTCAGCGTGAGTTGATCATTGGTGATCGTCAGACTGGTAAGACTGCCGTTGGTCTCGACACCATCCTTAACCAGAAGCGATGGAACGATGGCAACGACGAGAAGAAGAAGCTCTACTGTATCTACGTCGCCGTCGGTCAGAAGCGATCCACCGTCGCCCAGTTCGTCAAGACCCTCGAGGAGAACGACGCCATGAAGTACTCCATCGTCGTCGCTGCCACTGCCTCCGAGGCTGCTCCTCTCCAGTACCTTGCCCCTTTCACCGGTGCCTCCATCGGTAAGTATCTCATGTCTATTCCTCATCTCCCTGATAATTGTTGACACCGAAAAAGGCGAGTGGTTCCGCGACAATGGCAAGCACTCTCTCGTCATCTTCGACGATCTTTCCAAGCAAGCTGTCGCTTACCGACAAATGTCTCTGCTTCTCCGTCGTCCCCCCGGACGTGAGGCTTACCCCGGTGACGTTTTCTACCTCCACTCTCGTCTCCTTGAGCGTGCTGCCAAGATGAACGACAAGCTCGGTGGTGGTTCTATGACCGGTGAGTACCCATCCATCCAACCGACAACTGATGCACATGGCTAACTTAGTCAGCTTTACCCGTGATTGAGACACAGGGCGGTGACGTTTCCGCTTACATTCCTACCAACGTTATTTCCATCACTGATGGTCAGATCTTCTTGGAGGCTGAGCTGTTCTACAAGGGTATCCGACCTGCCATCAACGTCGGTCTTTCCGTCTCTCGTGTCGGTTCCGCTGCCCAGCTTAAGGCCATGAAGCAGGTTGCTGGTTCCCTGAAGCTTTTCTTGGCCCAGTACCGTGAGGTTGCTGCTTTCGCCCAGTTCGGTTCCGATTTGGATGCTGCTACCAAGCAGACCCTCAACCGTGGTGAGCGTGTAAGTTGAAACAAGCTATACAAATATTGGAAATTGAAGATACTGACTATTTTACAGCTTACCGAGCTCCTCAAGCAGAAGCAGTACAGCCCCATGGCTGTTACTGAGATGGTTCCTCTCATCTTCGCTGGTGTTAACGGTTTCCTCGACACCATCCCCGTTAACAAGATTCTTCAGTGGGAGTCCGACTTCCTTGCCCACCTCAAGACCAACGAGACCGAGCTCCTTGCCACCATTGACAAGGAGGGCGCCATCTCCAAGGACACTGAGGCTAAGCTCAAGGACGTCGTCCAGTCCTTCGTCAAGAGCTTCCTCGGTTAAATGTAATCAAAAGCAACTTGTGCGGAGAATAGCGGGGGCCTTTGGGGATGTCGCTGTCTATATCGAATATCTATTGTCGTTTTTCTCTCTTGAGGCGGAGGGAACATGTCGAGGGGTCGCGCCTGGATGGAGCGACGGGAATGAGTTGAGGGAGATTCGCCCGTCGTATTGCCACTTGTAAAATAGAGCACAAAACTCAATGAATGCCCTCGATTCCTTTTGTTCTTGAACTACCTAATGAACATTGCCGTTTCCCAATCTGTCTTGTGATTGTAACATGACCAAAAATCATCTAGGCATTCTTTTTCTTTCACATAGCAGTGTCAAACTTGATCTATATATCACAAGATTATGAAGTAGTTTCAAATGTCTCTTCTGAACGACCAGTACATGATTCTTATTTTTTGTTAACTTTTCAGTCTTTTTGATCTGCAAACAAGGTATATACTTACACGCCATAGGTCTGTGTTAAATACAATTATTTGACAATCACTGTATTTCTACTGCAACTTAATGAAAACATCTTTTAGGAATCCTGGAATAAAACTGACACCCCTACACTAAAAGCTTAGTGACTATTTAGGATAACTTAGATCACAATCATCTAAAGGTGAGCGTTATCTTGATCCCATATCGAGTATTAGTAACATGTGTGACATTTTATCCCGTGTTCTAACACAATTTTCGTATGAACTTGTTTAGTTTGTAATGAATTAAAACTTGAGACAGGATGGTAGGCCTCTCTGGTAGACCATATTGTGCGTCAAAGGCTACAAAGATTTTAAGCAATAGACTTGAAGATGAGGCCAACCAAATTGGTTCCTCCTTATGCATCGACTCGCAATCTAATATCAGCTGTTATTCAGTGTTTTCTTTATTTCACCTAGTAGGCAGTAAGCATTTGGATAGCGTGGAAGAAATATTTTGACAATGTACCTTGGCATCGACACGGCCTTGAATATCAAGCGCTGTATATAAAACCAGTCTTACAGAGTGCCTGCACAATTCCCATGCGGCAATGGAAACCCGCTTGAAGGATAACATTGCCAAAGCTGTGCCGAGCAAACCAAGTTAAACAAACGTAACTCTAGAGTTGCACTTGAACAGGAGGCTCAGATATACTGTGATTACATTCTTAGGCTCCCAGAGTGGCAATCTATGCGAGAAAGATGTGCCAAAGGTCGCCGCAATCTACAACATTCTCTGCTGTTCTCGATTGAAAGAAAAAAAAAAAAAACCAAATTACTGTTATCGCTCAAGAAGTGCAAAAAGGTCAATAGAGTTGATGAAAACGGTGCTACAATCACAACTAGTCCTTGTTCAAGCACAAACAGTTACAAATCCCGAGATGAAAACAGACCAAGCAAATAAACAATACAGTCATTTTCCCATTCGGAATTAAACTTGTGACTGAGATTGGGGCTAAGGCATTCAATTTTTCAGATGATGTCCTTTTCGGTTTGCCTTGTCTCTATCGTTAACTTCAAGGCTTCAGTCATTCATTGCGTCTCACAAGGCTCTTACATGCGGCCATCAGCACTGCGTCATCCTCGCCAGTCCAGGAACACCCGCCTCTGCTGCAATTCGCTCAAGGTGAGTAACCACCGCGTCCACTGTTCTTTCGAAACCAGTCTGCTCCGCCCACGGTTTCACCCGTGGTTGGTATGTACTCCCACAAGCCCATGTGATTACGATACCTTGGCGGACGCGCAGCTCAAGACTTGTAAGTGTATGCTATGCTTCTCCGTAGCAGCTTCAGTAGGATCTCGAGTGTCTTACGTCTTCAAGAACTCCTGAACCCGACGTCATAACAGGCTTGCATTGAGCTCTTTGCCGTCATCATGGCCCAACAATGAGTATGAGCCTGATTTCACCCCTGGGGCGAGGTGCCCAAAGTTTCTTGCAAGAAGCTGTCAAAACGTCGTGTCGGTCAGACCTTCTCCATTTTGAACGCAAGGCAGGACCCCTTTCAAAACGAGATTTCTCCTAGAACCACTGTTCAATATACCGCAATAAAAGCTGCTCTGCAGAATATCTTATTTCTGTCGTGATGTGGACGATTGCCAATAGTCGCAGAGAACCATACAAGCCTGATATTGGACATTATCGAATAATAACTCCAAAACAAATTAATCAGACAAGGTGCTGCATCTTCATCTTCATCCACCTCGCTTGGAGCTTCTGGGAGTTAGTCGGACCGTATATCTGAGTCACGCAGTCACCGAGTCCCGATGCTGAAATTGAGGAACCTTCAGCCACAGGTACTCCTTTTGGACGATTTTCTGAAGTAAGAACTTAAGGTCTTCTGTTGACCCATTAGCCTCTTCTGGGAGTGGCGGGCACCCTCCAACATGGCTTAGAGATTGGGATCCTTCAGTCTTGATCTATGGCGTATCATCAAGCTTCGTATCGTGGCCTTATTGTTTTATAGGGGTAATATGCTTGTTTTATTCTGTCTTTGGTGTTTCCGGTCCATCAGTGTTCACATGATACACATCCGTGCACATCCTGCATATGGTGAGAGGCAGAGGTAGAGGTCATCAGTACCGAGTGAATTTCCGTCAGAGTAGAGTTTTATCCCATCTTCTTTCCTTCCACAACGCATATTCTATCGCTTCGTGGCTTGACAAAAGAAAGCCGGACGACTGCTAACATAAAAGTTAGAGCCTGTCTCGTGAACAATGCGGCACTGCGACACATCAACCGGTGCCAGCCGAAGTGCTGCCGTAATTGCCATGTTCGAGTCTTAAGATTTGTCGTTTGGTAATCCCGTAGTTTGAATCTCGACCCAATTGTCTCATCTGAGCCCAGTCCCAGTAGCCACATCTCTGTTCTCGGAGCCATGTGCCAATATCAGATGCCGAATTTGTTAGGATTGGGGTTGCATTGTTGAGTGTATAATGTTTATTTCTAACATGGCATTTGTAATCTGTCCTTAAGGTGCACTTCGTAAGTCTTTACGGACAATGTCCGCGTTGTTACTTAGGGATTTTGAAACCAGAAGACAGTGACTTCGATTGTACTCGGCACCTGTTACACTCGATGTAGCAGTGTTCTCTATATTGTGTTTTCCTCTCTGCTAATTAGGAAGTATTTGTTGTATTCAGTCGCCAACTCTCTGACGATCCGAACTTGGGCGGTGATGTAAGCAATCTCATCTAGTACTGCCATGGTATCGATATGTGAGTTGCCTCCGTAGTCCCACGTATAGTCAGTTCCATTCTCGGTATCTTCATTGCTATCGCCAATGTCTTCTTTGCTGTCGTAGCTGGGGTTATCCCATATGCTGTCTTTGTCCCTTGGAGTCGTTGTTAATAGAACCGTTAGGATTTACAAATTAATTATGTTTTATTGGAAATATCTGTAACACATCAATAAAGATGACGCTGTGCCAATAGACACAAAAAATCAACCAATTCAGTCACAACTAACTGGATTGCCTTTCGCATTGATATAAGGAGCCTAGGCTGCCTCCATGGCAGCTACAGTAGGTCTTCTCGGCCTCTTACCTCTATATCCTCACAATAGTAAAACCAATCTGTCTTGTGATTGTGACGTGACTGATAACCCTGTAGGTATTTTCCTTTTTTTACTTAGAAATATCAAACTTGAGATATCACAAGGTTATGATGTAGTTTTAAAGCACTTTTCTTATACCTAGGCTGTCTCCAATGTAACCGGAATCTCCCCTTTCCTTCAGTGAAACTTGTACCAGACTTTCCTCCGTTTCTTGCTTATCGCGACCAACTCATCGTCACTATTATCATCGACTTTGTCTTCAGAAGCCTCTGACTCCAAGTCCATCCCGTCGCCATCGTCTGACTCCATTCCATCATCGTCTGGCTTCATTGCATCATCGGCTGAATCCGAGTCCATTGGGTCGCCCCCCTTCTTGCCCCCCTTCTTACCCTCCTTCAACGCCTTCAACATATTCCACTCTTCGTTGTATCCGCGGAGCTTGAAACCCAGATCGTAGCGGGTTGGGAGGCGGTCTTGAACATATGGTGCGTTGTCTCCACGGCGAAATGCCGATTCAAGTGGGTGTTCCATAGTCTTCTTCCTTGCCAGTAGGTTGGCAATTAGGTCATCCACTTTAGAACTCATGTGTAAATAATACACATGAACGTCCTTTTTCTGCGGCATACGGGCGGCGCACCCAATCACCTGCTTTTCGAGGCCCGGCGTCCAGAATTGTTCGGCTATGACCACATGCGACCCCCCATGAAGGTTGAGTCCGGTCCCTCCACAGGCAGCGCTCAATATAATTAGGTCAATACCACCAGAATTGAACCACTTGGCGATATCCATTCGGACATCCACGTCCTTGATCTGACCGTTAAAATGAACCATTGTAAGTGTAGGCAGGCAGCGTAAAAGGTGCTCCCCGATAATGTCAAGAAATCTGACAGATGTGGCTGTAATAATAATTTTTTCAGTAGGGTAATGAGAACGAATTGTTGTGATAATTTCGGTGATTTTCTTGACCTTTGGCGAGGCCAGTTCGTCGGTGGACATCTTCTTCAATGTCTGCCCCCAAATCTGTCTCATTTGAGCCGTCGATTGTTTTCGGTCGAGTTTCGGAGGGTCACTCTCAGTGTTGCGGCTCTCAGTGTCTGTGTCGCAATCGGGGTTTTCAGGGTCGAAATCTGGATCTTCTTGGTCTTCATCGTAATCGAAATCTTCATCAGCATACACAGATTGTTCGATTGTCTTCAGCTCGTTGGCGGGTGCTTTCCGGGTAGCCCTCAAAGAGTCAATTCTCACTTGCTTGGAACCCTTCTTGCACTCCGTGTGTTCCGAATGTTCCAAAGCGGCGTCTTCAGTTTCGGTCAAGTGGGACTGATGTATATACCATCCCTTGAAGTCGCTGTACTGTTGCGGAGTTAATTCTTCAGGAGATACAGCAACCGGTTCATATGTTGCATCCCCCTCCTTAAGCCACTGATGAATAGACAATTGGAGACCCTTTTCAAAGTTAGAGTACCTTTCGGCTCTCTTCTCCTTGCCCTCTTCATAGGCCTCATGGCTGAAAAGCGTCTCATTGTTTGCCATCTGCTGCGACGTGCGAAGGAGCCGAACCCCTCTCTTGAGTTGACTATCGCGCCCCGGATTGTGCGATGATAAGGCGCCGTTTCCCCAGATTATCGACTGTGCTCGAGTAGCTTGGTCCAGAATTAACATGTCGACCACTTTTGGGAGGGTGTCCGTCACTGTCAAGTGATTTTGGTGAATGGGAGGCAGGTCTGTTACTGACTTGGGGCGAGCTACAACCACACCACTGAGAAGATGTCGAAGAAGAATGAGGAAGGGTCCAGCCGGGCCGCCACGGCCAACTTTGCCATGCAAAGGTGCTAGGGCAAATACACGATGAAAGTCATCGATGGACCGAAAGGGGCTCCCCGGGAACAGTAGCAAGATACCCCTAATATCATGCCATGTATTGAAGATTGGTGTCGCTGTTAAAAGAAACATATTGTGACATGGTATCTGTCGGATCGCTTGGTGGTATTGAGATTCGGGGTTCTTGGCATCGTGAGCTTCATCAATGATTAGAACCGGGAACAAGCGATTCCTCAAATGGTAGAGATCTGTAGACGTAGACATATTCAACTTCTTGGGGTTAAGCTTTGGGAAGAGTTTGCGAGCTGCCCCAATTCCATCAGACTTGACCGTTTGAAGCCAGAGATTCAGCGTTGTCAAGTCAGTGAATCGCTTTCCAATAAAGCTATTGGCGAATATGACGACGTCATACTCCAATATCTCCGCGACTTCGGTGTTGGCATCATCGATGATCACTGCCTTGGGTCTGGTTTCCTAGACCAAGTCAGTTTCTAACGACTCATAATACAGCACTGAGACAGCTTACCTCACTAAAATGCTGCTCAATCTCTTCCCACCACTGCAAAATGCAGGCAGGCCGGGTAACAACGGCAACAGGACCGCAGTCAGGGAGCATCTTGTTTCTTTGATGCAATGCTGCCACAAGAGCCGTGAGCGATTTACCCAGTCCAGTATCGTCTCCAAGAATCAAGCCACCCAGAAGAAAGTTGCATGAAGCGGCCAGTTTTTTTGCCCCAATCTCTTGCCATGGTTTTAGCTCATGGCCTTCTTTCAGCTTAGGAAAGTTGAGATCGCCGGTAAGGTGCTCGTGGGATGTAGTCATATTCTGTAAAGACATTGTGTTAGCTACTTTCCAGGGATCACCCTCGTGTGACTTCAGTCACTGTACTTACCTGTTGTTCGATCCAGTCCTTGCTTGCAAAGAAGTCGAGAATGTGACGGGACTCGTTTCCGTGCCAAACTTGCATACGCTCCTCTGCCTTTAGTTTGTGGTGGTTTTGGGGCTTCTTCTTCTTCTTCTTCTTTTTGGGAGTGATAGGCCCTGGCGATGGCTTCTTGAGGGCGGCCCTATCCTTCCTCTCCTCCTCATTCATATTAAACATAGTTGGCCCTCTAGCTCTGGTATTGATCAGGTTGGCGAGATTGAGATCGGATAGTTTTGGGTCTTCCTTCTCAGGCTCGCGATCACTCACTCCGAGCTCGGGGGGTGCGCATTTTCGCTCGAGCCATTTCCAAGTATCGCTGGCCGGGCGCATCTTGAACGTGAGCGGAGTTGGTTTCAGTTGCTATAGTTTGATGTAAAGGATTAACAAAAATGATGAAAGAAGAAGAAGAGTGTAAGAGGGAAAAGAAGAAGGGAAGGATTTTATAGTACAGTCTGAGTGAATTGTGAATCACTGTCGAACAGTGCCAGACACGCGGAACGGAAATTTCTGCCTGCCGCCTCCCGTGTATATGTTCTGCCCCTCAATCTTCTCTTATCTTTCATTTTCTTCCTCTTTACATTCTTTTCTCCTTCGCATCTCCTCATACCACCGTAAGCCTGGTAGCTGCAGGCCACCCTCGCGATGTCGACGACGTTGGATCCTCCAGAGCAACATCAAATCTTGGAAAACCCCTCTCAGCTGTACGACCAGCTGACAGCATGGTGCTATACCCCTGTTGTACTGATGGATAGCGACACTGCTCGGGAGTGGACAGAGCTGTTGTCCACCAAGGAGTTCACGAGCGTGACTCTCGAGGATACACCCGGCAATTTGACCGGGCTGCTTCGAGCCTTCAACGCCTTTCCTTATGACGACGAACTCAATGCTGCTAGACAAGCTATCAAGTGAGTTGCTCGCGATGTTGAAATCATTCCAGCTGACATTTTGTAAAGATCCTTCTCCATTACCGTCAAAGATCCATCCGAACAAGAGAGTCGCCCTCAGACAGACAGGCATCTTTGAGAAATGCGTCTTTGGTTCCGTACCAGAACTTTTGTCTCAAGTGATCAGTGGAATGACTGGTCTTCAGATTATCTCTTTAGATCCCAAACCTTTTACTGTCTCAGATGGGCGACAATTTTACGATGCCATCTTGGACAGCCCCGAACGACCTATCTGGTGGGAAATGTACTCAATCAGGATCCGAGGAGCCAACGTGCTAGGTGCCTGCATCATAGGCCGCAGCAATTACAGAACACTCAAGTTTGTCGACATCGATGGTTGGATCACCTCGAGCGGTTGCGAGAAGATGGAAGCGGTAAGACAGCTCGAAAGATTGCGCTTGTACTACGACGAGGATCATGTGCCGAGTCCTGAGCGACATTACCAAGATTGTAAGAATACCTGACAACCCTATACTCACACTTTACTAACTGCATAGAAAATTGAATTCGACAATGTTCGTAAGGGAATGGAACGCATCAGTATCACACGCCTTGCTTTCCACTTTGACTACCGGCGCTTCAGTCCAAGGATCATTCGTTGTGACTTGGGTAAAGAGATGTCGTCTCGCCCTCTGTCAACTCATCGAATCAAGCAGTGGTATACAAAGTGGATTGAATACCTGACGAAAGGCACATGCCTGGAAGAAGTTTGGATTTTCGCTCACAGTTCTCTTGCTTATGTTGGAACCCTCGATGACGATGAGAAAGTCACCGTCCGGTGCCGCGAGCTTGGCGATGAGCCTAAGCAAGGCTTTCCCTGGGGGCTTCATGAAGAGTAATGCGATGGCCGCCCTCGAGAGAGGCTGTTCTAATGGATCAGAATCCACACAGACGGCAAGAATACGGACAATGATGAGGTTTAAGGGGTATGGCTCCGTTAGTATTGGTCAGCAAGTGGCTTGCTGCAAACTGGGGAACGGTAGATAAAAGACAAAATGAATGCAGTTTCATAGGAACATTCCTTTGAATGTTGGATGTTAAAGTTTAAAGCCCCGTTCGTTCGTGAAAATACTTATGGATACGTATTGTCTCGACCACATCCAAGAGTCAAGTAGAATCTTTAACACCGTTAAATATAGCAGTCACACGATGCACATGAGTTAATGGGCATACTGTCTTCTTATATGGATAAACATTTAGGAATATTATTTGTTTTACTGCTTAAATACAGTAGCACCCATCTTCTTCTGTTATTTTCTTTAAATCCATTTTGATTACATTCTATATAGTCGAACTGGTATCTCCCTTTTGTTTAGCCTCACCCATTCTTATGTTCTGGTTGCAGTCTTTCTTCTGCTGATCTATTATGCATAATTGCAGTCATGTTCCTGATTGTTTTCACTTGTGCATGAGTTGCTTTACGAGCTCGTTTCTTTAGGTTCTCATATTACTGTCCTCGGCCGCCTTTGATCTCTTTGCGTGGACTTGACAAGGCAGCAATCGATACAAAGCGCTGAAACACACTTGATGGTACTACTAGACATGGTATAGTAGGAGTCGATGGTCGGCAAGCTCCTTGATCTGTCAGTTTTGCAGTAGTCGGAAAACTACCACTGATACCGGACTCCTTGGGGCTCCCCTTTTTGCAGATTCTTCTATACGTAAGCATTTCCATGTATGAATAGAATAACAATAATCAAGATAACTTTCTGAATACCGGGCTCCACATTTATCACTTTGCCGTGAATCACTGCAGCCTCCCGGCCTTGAGTACTTAAGTGCATTTCATTTCTTCTCCTCGTCCTTTTTCTTTCCCTTCTACAACATATCCACTCAGTTCTCGACCTGGACTTGAGTACTTAAGTGCTTTTCTTTCCTTCTCCTCTTGCTCTTTTTTTCTCCCTTCTTCAACATCTCCCACCATACCTCAACAGTATCAAGAAGCGACCAACCAAAATGGACGACCCCCAGAGACAGATTGGGCGTTCAACGTCGAGGTTATTGCATACGATACGGGAAAACCTGGCAGGCCTCACTACCAGGCTATAGAGACTAGCAGGTTGTTAGCCAGTCAACATAAGGCATCAGCTGCTGAATACAACACGACCGTTAGTAAGCTTCCACGGAGCAAAGAGGAGCTGGAGCTTAGAAATTCCACGTAAGGGTTCCCCCTGATGTCCAACTTTCAGTTACTAATCCGCGTTTTTAGTGAAAATCTGGCACTCATCGTTGGGGAGTACCTGCTGGAGCCGCCCCTAAAACCTCGAAATTCAGATCTTCGCGTGGCCAATATCGAAGACTTCGATCAGAGCCAACATCTCAGTATAGACACCGCAGACACTGTGCTGGTGGCAGTGCCCTTCAAGACTCAACAGCTGAATCTCTATCAGTTGACGAATATGTCGGATGGGTTGTGCGAGATGCAACCTATCGTAATTGAAAAATCACTTCGGATAAAATCGATAATGTGGTACCAAGAATTCGTTAAGAACCCTCGAATCGCAAAGGCCAAGGATCAATATGCACAGATTATGAACGGCATTAAGGAATATATCAGAGTTTATTTGATAGAACACGCTAGAGACAGCGAGATGGCGCGGATGTCGAAATAGTTGACTCGGGGTCCCACTATCGACCCAGACGCAGAGTCTCAAAGAACCATCGAAATGGCTCTCAAGGTGTATCAAAGAGCAGGGTCGATAGATACCCTTGGACGGGTCATAGAAGAAACAAGGAAGAGGCTATACCGGTATCGAAAGAGTCGCAATCCATCTGTCGAAAAGCACTTGGACAATATTCGGCTGCTTGGTGGTGGCTACATGACCTCGAATAGTGCATCCAGTTTCATCGATGCATACAAGGTATTTACATGCTTCCTGTATGAATAAATGGCATTGGACTAATAAAGGGTAGGCCCTGTGGCCCGATGCGGTAACTTCCAGCACCGCAAGCATCGTCACTCCTAAGGCCATTATGAAGCTTGATGCTGCAATACACCAGGGCGTACTCACTGATCATATGTTTGACACTTTTTGCATCCCCGATGCATTCTACCGGACTTTCGTAATGATATTTTGCGACAAGGCATTTGATGCCGGTTTCATCGACGAGGGCGAGGACGAGGACGATGATGACGCCGATGACGACCCGAATCTACGAGAAATTGTGGCTCGGGCATACGAACTGACGAAAGGATGTGTAGGGGCGTCCCTGCCAACAGACCACACCGTGCAGCCTATCTGGGAAGACGTCGGCATTGAGTTCATCTCGAAGAGGATTACGACAGATGAGCAATGGATTCGGTTTCTTGATGGTCACATTAATAAGATCTTGGGTCATTTCCAGATTGAAGCGAATCTGGAACTGGTCGACACGCCAAACATTAAACCGCTTTTTCGAAAGCTTTCTACATCTCTGGATTCGCAGTTCACCCATACTGGCTTATCACGACTCTGGCACACTGTGGTCACACTCCTCATAGATCCGCTGAGGCGAATGCGGAATGAGCTTGGAGGAGAGGTCGAGATAACGAAAGCCATGCTGAAGGCTCTGACAGTCGACGAAGAGATCGACCCTCTTAATGACGATGAAATTCCAGGCCACAAGAGCGGTGCCCTCCGTCCATCCCAAGAGTTCGACTATTTTGCATCTCCAGGTCATGGGAGTGACGCCCTCGATCAAGGCCAAGACATGGACGACTATTTTGCCGATGATGAAATTCCGGCCCGTAGGAGCGATGATTCAGGTTCTCAGCACGAATTTGAAGACAGGGAATCTTTATTGAAACAGGTTTTCAAGAAGCACCGCTCAGCGAGGCGCCCTTTGATCTCTTCTGACCAGGAGGATGGGAGCGACGAAGAAAAAGGCCCCGATACCAGGATGGGGGATGACCCCAAATCAATCCACGATTCAGATATGGAATCTTCTGGAGAGGATGAGGGTAAAGATGAGGGCGAGGATGAAGCAGATTCCGATGCTACTATGGGGGATGCCCCCGAATCAATCGACATTTCAGATTCAGAGATTGGCTCTTCTGACAAAGATGAGCGCAATACTATTGATGACCAAAATGTTCAGGCGGACATTGAGAGCTCTGGTGCCACCACCCAGAATGAACGAGATGGTCACTCTTCTGATGATTCGGACGTTATGAAGGACATTCCGATGGAGGAAGAGAAGTTCATTGACTGGGACCTTGAGGACATATAAGCCAAATGGTAAATAGCAGCAGGCAGTTCCTAGCAAATAAGTACTAACAAGTCTTCATTCTGATTTAATTACTCTCTTTTCACCCATAGACTTGTGATATCAAAGGATTAGAATGCCTTTTACTGTTTATTGTTCATGGGGGTAGTCCTCAGATCCCTCGACGCAATACAGGCTATGTTACCAAGTGCAACAACCGGCAGCAACATACTGCTACCATTCATCTATCCAGTTTCTTGAACTTCTTAAAGAATTCATCACGTGCTTCCCGATTCTGTCCCGGCTTCTTCATTTCCTCGACTGCCTTGACTGCCGATTTAGTCTTTTGGTCGTTGGGTCCAGCCGTTTTGTCAACGGCGACTAGAGCGTCAAGTCGATCAAACGTCTCTTTGATAATGGGCCGATCAAATGTCTCTTGGGTGGGTGGGATTACTAAGTCAAGTTAGTCAGATATACCCTAAATCAACGACACTCCATCGTTCCTGGGTTACCCACCTGGCACATTACTCTCGTTCTGTGGGTCGACGTTGCCATTCGTGCTATGACTGTTCTCACTGGGTGTGCTCTCTTCATCGTCATCAACTTCGTCATCATCTTCGCCTTCATCTTCATCGTCTTCGTCATCTTCGTCGTCGGCAGATGCTCTCTTTTCCTCAGTAGCGGCAATGTTGGACATGGCCTTTCCCTGGGGCATGGCATCGAGGATTTCCGCGATATTGCTGGAGGGTGCCCCCTGGGCTTTCTCTTCTTCATGCTTGCGAGCCATGTTTTCGAGGGTGGGCATGACGTACTCTCGTTCAAGCCATTCCCAAGTTGTGTTGGTCGGGGGTATGAACACAAGCAGGTTAGATTTCAATGTGGCAGAATAGTTTGAAGTAGGGAAATGTTGGTGAAGAAGGAGAAGAAGAAGAAGAGTGAAAGTGAGAAAAGGAAGGGTGAGATATTATAGTCCAGTTTGAGTGGATCATGAATCACTGTCAAGCAGTGGCAGCGAAATAGACTGTGAATCACTGCCAGCTGCCAAGCAGTGCCATAGAAGTGCATTATGAATCACTGTCTGCTACTATAATAATAAACTCCTGCATCAAATAAATTACCCCTCCCTCTTTCTTCTTTCCTTTTACATTCTTCTCCCCCCAACATCGCTTCACCAGTGCAAGCCAACTTGCCGTTGGTTGCCCCCAGGATGTCGGATCCTCAAGAACGACGCAAAGTCTTGCAAATCCCTCCTCAGCTATACAACAAGCTTACAGAATGGTACCATGCTCCTACTGTTCCCAAAAACAGCGACACGGCTCGGGAGTGGAAAAAAATGCTATCAACTCAGAAGTTCAAAGACATAGTTTTAGACAACACATCTGGCAATCTGATCGGGTTGCTTCGAGCTCTCTGCCTTAATGGTGCTAGCAAATCCGTTAAGTAAGTTCTGTGTGATGTAAACTGATTCTAGCTGACATTATGCGAAGATCCTTCTCCATTACTATCAAAGCTCCATCCAGACACGAAGGTCACTCTCAGACATCAGGACAAGAGGGTCACCACCAGAGAGACACCTTTGGATACTTGCCAATTCTACTCGCTGAAGTTATTTGCCAAATAACTAACCTTCAAGCCATTTCTTTGGATCTCGGACTGCTTACCGTGGAAGATGGGCAAAAATTTCACGATATCATAATGAGCAATCTACCTCACATTGTCTGGCCAAAAATGCATTCAATCAGGATCCGAGGTCCCAGCATGCTAGCCGCTTGCATAATATACCACTGTGATCGCTCCAAGCTTAAGGCTCTCAATCTCAATGGCTGGACAGAATCACACGACTTCAAATGCGCGGAATCAGCCAACAATCTTGAACGACTGCGCTTGTATTACGACAAGGATCATTTGTCGAATCCTGCGGCCGGTGCTTTGGACTTTCCATCAACTCATTATCAAACTTGGAGGTCATTGCGCAAGCTAAAAACTGCTTCTCTACATTGGCTTGTCCTACAGGAAGAAGATTGCAATGAGAGCAATGAATTCCCGCCGCTAGAAGACATTTATAAGTTGGTAAGGACACTCAATATGCCTGTATCCAAGCTTCACTAACGGCTGCATAGAAACGCATATTTGACGAGGTTCTTTTTAGTGTGAGAGTTCTTACGCCGAAACGCCTTGCTTTCTACTTTGACTACCGGCGCTTCAGTCCAAAGGTCATCCGCACTGACTCGGGTATGCTGAACCCTACATCTGGGCCCCTGGAAAGTCATGAGATCAAGAAATGGCATGAAATTCATATCAATAATTACCTGATGGAATTTTGGAAGCCGCAAGAAGTGTGGATTTTCACCAACAGTTCCCTCGCCTTTGTTGGAACCCGTAACAGCGATAAGACAGTCACCGTCGAATGCCGCAAGTTTGACGGGGAAACCAACCAAAGGAGCTTCCCTTGGGGGTTACTTGACGAGTGATGCGATGGTCACCCTCGAGAAATGCTATTCTAAGCGATCGGAACTCACATAAATGTCGAAAACGTGGATAGGCATGAGGTCCGAGGGGTATAAATTCGCTGGTACTAGTAGGCAAGTGGCCTGCAGTAAACCAGGAGAAATCACAGATAGAAGATGAGATAGATGTGGTTTTCATTGTTACTTGCATTATATTTGACGTTGTTTGAAAACATATCTATTTGTGAAGATACATATGCATGCGCATTGCCTTTACCATATTCGAGAGTTAATGGAACGGATTTGTTGTCGTCAATAGGGGAGATGCATTAGACACAAGTCACTTGAGTTATGGGAGTGCTGTCTTTTCTTGTGGGTGAAAGTTTGAGAGCATTATGCGTTTTACTGTCTAGATACAGCAGCATCCATCCATCCATTTCGTTTCCTCTTCCGCCCCTTCTTCCCGTTCTATATAGCAGAATCAGTATCAGTAGCTCTTTGTTGTAATACCGTGCCGATTCCTGCATTCCAACTGCAACTTTTCTTCTTCCAATCCCTTGCGTATACTTCCAATTAGGTATCCGGTTTCTTTACTGGCACAGAAGTTATTCTATTGCCTCATCCTAGCACTTCTTTGGTCTCTTTGGTGAAGGGGCTCGGGGGTGATACTCTGGTTTGCATGGTGGTGCTGGGCTGCTTGGTGCTCCAACAGTCGATGATGGTTGATATCGAGTCAATTCTGTACGTGATTTGTCAGAAATATATGTTCTTTTGATAGTATCGAGCGCTTTCCCCACTGTATGAAGTCTTTTTTCGACATTGGGGCCTTTTGTCTCGTCAGAAGTGCCGATATTTGGATTGCCAATTGCACCAGGGGGCATGGTTCATGCTGTCAAAATCTTCAATGCCATTGGAAAAGTTATATTTGACTTCATGCTGAGAACTGGGATCATCGCTCTCACCATCGTCAGAGGAACCGATATCGGAATCGTCGATTGAATTGGTGGCATCCTCTATACTGGCATCGGAACCTTTGTCGTCGTCGGGAGATTTATCTTCAAATCCGTGTTAAGGACCCAAAGCATCGCTCCCATGACCCGAAACTCCATCATCGTCAAAAGAGTCGATCTCTTGGTGGTAGAATGGATTGAGGACATCGTTCTCTGTATTCATCATACTGGCACCATAACCTTTGCCGTCGTCGGGAGAGTCATGGGCAACAGTGTCGACGCGACTAGTTCCGGATTCGCTCCAATCTGAAAATGGCGCAGCATTTTATTGAGGTGGTTATCAAGAAACCTGATCCTTCGCTTCTGCGTCAATATCATCTTCGAGATAAATTCGATGCCGACGTCGTAGGCGTCACTATGTAATCCATCGGCCAGGAGGATCCCATACACGCTTCCATAAGCTTATATGCTCGAGCCGCAGTGCTTGTTAATAAACTCAGGATGTTGTCAAGAGCGGAATCGAATGCTTTCGCAGAATAATGCCGCAAAAGTACGGTAGAGAACGTCAGGAATAGGAAGTGGTGTATATATATAATTAGGTAGTGAGCTCTCGAACAATCTGGCATCAAGACGCATAACAACTTCAGGTGTAATGGTGTTCTCGGTGCTTGGAGTTACTGCGTCGGGCCACATACCTCTAGGTATCTGGTAATATAACCGCCAAAAAGAAAAATAAGAGATAAAAGTTAGTTTATGCAATTTAGACCGGAATTTTAGGCTATTTATATTTATACCCTAAAGGCCAGGGGCCAATGTTTCTGGTAGGGATTGTCTTCCGTTCGTTTATCCAGTACAATAGACATACTTGGGTGGGAAACAAGCAGATGATATCTTGTATACATTGGTGAATTTGATGCATCTTTCGTCGTCATGCCGCCATTACCAAGCAGCCGGATGTATTTCAAAAAAAAATTCGATAGATGGGTTGCGGCTCTCTCGAGACCAGTGTAGCGCCTTCCCTGATTCTTTAATGACCCGTTTAAGGGTTTCCATTGAGTCTGCCATTATATACACTCTGAGAGCTATTTCGATGTTTCTTTGAGACTCTGCTTCTAGGTCGATAGTGGGACCCCGAGTCGGCTTTTTAGAGATTCACACTATATCGCTGTCTTTGGCGTGTTCTATCATATAAAGTCTGATATGTTCCTTGATTTTGTTCTTGATTTTTGTGTTTTAAGCCTTGGCAGCATTATCTCGAGGGTTCGGAATGAACTCCTTGTACCACATGATGGATTTTGGCAAATAAGGCCTTTTAATTACGAGTGGTTGCATCTCGCACAACCCATCTGACATTTTAGTCAACTGATAGAGATTCAGCTGTCCAGACTTGAACATTACTGCCATCAGCGCAGTGTCTATAGTTTCTGGACGACTATATTCGTAATGAATATCAAGGCTGGCCAGCTCAATTTGTACCAGCTAGCCAACAAGGAATATTCGTTACGCATGGCTTTGTCGTTTCGCTCTGGCTTAGGATCCATGACGCCAGACACAGCAGACACTCTTCGATGATGAGTGCAAGTTTGTCACTAAGAATTCGCGTTAGTAACTGAAAGCCGCACATATACTGCAATTCTCACATACTGTCTATAGGTTCATTCCTTGTCACTGAACCCAACTTTGCTCACTGTCGTGTCGAGTCTAGCCAAATCTTTGATAGAGATTCGGGGTCCTTTGAGTCCCTGATTTGGATGGCTCGATGGGGAATTATGTGCCGTTGGCCTGTATTGTAGGCGTTTCCTTGAGCGTTGAATGCCCAGTCTGCTTCTCCATCATCTGTTTCGTCGGTCGCGCAGCCATAGGGCCCGCATGAGCGGTTGGATCGTAGAAGGGGAATGGAAGAGAGGTGAAAGAGGAAGAGAAAAGAAAAACGCCTAGGCACTCAAGATCATAGGCAGCAGTGATTCACTGCTAAGAAATGCGGGTCTAGGTACCTGGTGACTGACTTCTTTTGGTGTGTTGCAATAGTGCAAAAGCCTTGCAAGCTAACAAGAAAGTAATTGGGTGGTAAGATGTCTATAACGCTGAAACGGAGTCAAACGGAATAGTTATATAACGTGGTTTTTCTGGGGCAGATGGTTGACACGACCGATGACTTGTTTCTCAAGATCTGGAGCCCAGAATCACTCGGTGATGATAGCATGCGAGCCTCCATGGAGGTTCAAACCGGTTCCACCACAGGAAGCACTCAACAGCAACATGTCAATACCGCGACCTTCAGAATTAAACCGATCAGCAATCTCTGTTCGATCGTCGACTGAGGTGATTCGCCCGTCGAAACGCACCATTGTGAGTTCAGGCGCCAGTCGTGGCAGGTAATCACCCAGCACGTCCAGGAACTTGACCGATGCGGACGTAACAATTATCTTCTCACTTAGGTATGAAAACTGGATCTCTGCAACTAAACCACTGATTCTCTTGATCTTTGCGGAGCCAAGTTCGTCGATGGACATGCGTTGTAAGGTGTCCTTCCAAGTCTGCTTGGCTGTAGGATTCGGCTGGCGTTTGCGCTTTGCATGGTGGCCATCGGTGCTGTTGGGGTCTAAATCCGGGTCCTCTTCGTCTTGCGTATTGGAAACCTTTATCCTCATACATAGCGCGCCTGAGTCACCTCTAGAGCATTGTTGGTTGGTCTATAGGTAATGTTCAAAGTGCCAAGCCTCGCTTGATCGGGAACTTTCTGAGACTCTGAACGTTGTGGATCAGAATCTCTTTATTGATTCCAGCTGAACAAGACTGTCGTATACAAAATTGCCTGAACTTGCTATACTGCGTGGCGGTTGAATCGCTGAGAAGTGTAAAGAAAGCCTGCTGACGTGATAATAAGATATAAGATATTATATAAGGGCTCTTGCTGTACATTTTTTTCTCAGAAAGTACCTGTGAGACTTTTTAAATGTAGCCAAAACCAATAGTATATATAATATAGTCCCTGTGGGAGGGTGTCAGTATGTCATCATCCCATCCAACCTCGTGATGAAAATCACAGGTCATTCAGACTTACTTGAATGAGGAGCCATGATCTGGTTGAGTTAAAAAAAATTGTTTTTGAAAAAGGATCGGGGATAAGCATTTAACTTGATACCTTTTAGTGTTTGCTTCAAAGGTTCGGTCTGAAGCCTAGATGTGGTAGTTGTGTGTGTTTGGGGAATAGAAGTTTGGAGTTGTCAGTACTACGGATACGTACGCATAGGTAGGATTATCCAAAGGTACAGCGTTAGCAAAATTACTGTGCTGCCTAGAAAACTTCCTCCGTGGCCATTCATCAATTCTTATATATAACAATTGTGCATCCATTCACTTGTTTGCAGTTTGCAGTAACACACTGAGCAATCTATCACTATGCATTTGTTAATACTAACAAGTTAAGTATTTGGCTATTGTTATGGAGTGTTTCCCAAACTTCTTATGTGTCGCACCAGCAGAAAACAAGAAGAGGAAAGTGTCCAGATTGTTCTTGAGGCAATACTGTATGTATGGTGGATGCCTTTTTGCTCTTGGTGATGCAGTTATGTAGTTGATGTATCGTTCCAGACCGAGACCCAGACCGATTCGCAGATTGGCTGGCTCCGTGTACCGGAGGCGGGGCTCATTTACTCCGATGTCGCCCCGCACTCCAACTGTGCTGAGCTTGTGGCAACTACATTAGTAGGAGATACTCCTCAGGGAGTTGCCGTTGGAAGCATAAGAGACTAAATTAGTAGATCATCTTACTCGATTTGATCTCAATTCTTGGGTCATACATTCTTGTCCCCTAAAGCTTGAAAGCCAACTTTCCTGTTACCTCAGGTACTGTGCAACGGTTCAGTGCCTCACTAAAAGACGCCACCACTCGTTCCTCTAGTGGCATCGAATCTCACATACGATTGGCTACTTGGCACGAACAGATCCCCCGCATTTTTTACCGGACGACGTCGGAGGGTGGTTGTGAATGTCTCGACTCTCAGTGACTGATGCGGTCCATTTGGTCCATTTAGTGTCATTCTATTTTTTTTTTTAAATTGAGTCTTGCCCCAGGTTTGTGTCCGGCTTCGCTCCAATCCAGAGCCAAACCTTGCTAGGCTTAGTAGCTTCTCCCACCTCCCTCTCTTCCTCCAACAACTTTTTAACTTTTTCCCATCATCCTCGGCCCTGAAGCAAAGACAAGCAAAGACTGGCATCTTTATATTCTCTTGCTCTTCACTGAGCGCTTGTGCTCAATCAACCAATTGATATCTTTCCCTTCCCATCACACCCCGACTTTCCTCTCCTCTCCAAACACATCTACTCCACGATGCTCCGAAGTCGCCCCACGAGACAGGCTATCCGCGCCTTTGGCCAGGCGAGGGCCCGAACGACGCTGCCCGCGACGCAAAGAACAAAAGCTACTGCTACCACTTCTGCCGCGCCGTAAGTTTCTGGCTATCCCTCTTGATTCTTTGCGCCCTCATAACCTCGTTTGTGGTGTCACACTTCGTCAATTGATATTACATTATTGATCTCACCTCAATCATGTTGCTGACCTGCTTTACAGTCAGACTCGACCTGTGCCCAGTCCCGCCTTCAACTTGGAACCCGAATCTCGTCGTCATGTTCAGCCTCTTGCCAACCGATCGAATGCCGAGATGGATGAGTCGTAAGAATTCTCTCCCAAACCGCGATGCGCTCTTACTCATGTGCCTTTAGTTTCATCGGAAAGACTGGTGGCGAGATCTTCCACGAGATGATGCTCAGACATGATGTGAAGCATATTTGTTTGTCTCACTTCTTCGGCAGTGACAAATGAGAACACACGTGCTAACTAGTCTCAGTTGGCTACCCCGGAGGCGCTATCCTTCCCGTCTTTGACGCCATCTACAACTCGGAACACTTCGATTTTATCTTACCTCGACACGAACAAGGTGCCGGCCACATGGCACAAGGTAAGATCCGCTTCGTTGAACAAGGTTTGTGTTAACATATCATAGGTTATGCTCGTGCCACCGGTAAACCTGGTGTTGTACTCGTTACATCAGGCCCAGGAGCGACCAATGTCATCACACCCATGCAAGATGCTCTCTCAGATGGCACTCCCATTGTCGTCTTCACTGGACAGGTCGTAACAAGTGCTATCGGATCGGACGCGTTCCAAGAGTGCGATACTGTCGGCATTAGCAGGAGTGCGTGCAAGTGGAACTGCATGGTTACAAGCATTGCTGAGCTTCCTCGCCGAATTAACGAGGCTTTCGAGATTGCTACAAGTGGTCGTCCTGGCCCCGTTCTCATCGACCTTCCCAAGGATATTACAGCCGGAATTCTTCGAAAGGCTATTCCTACGCAAACTCGCCTACCCTCTATCCCAAGCATGGCCTCTCAAACCGCCAAACAAGTAATGGAGAAGCAGCTCAACGCCTCCCTCGGTCGTGCTGCTGATCTCATCAAAATAGCTAAGCAGCCCATCATTTACGCTGGCCAAGGCATTATGCAGTCTGAGGGTGGAACTGAGCTTCTTCGCGAGCTGGCCGACAAGTGTTCTATTCCTGTTACGACAACTCTCCAGGGTCTCGGTGCATTTGATGAGCGTGACGAGAAGTCACTACACATGTTGGGTATGCACGGCATGGCATATGCCAACATGTCTATGCAGGAGGCCGACCTTATTATCGCTCTTGGTGCTCGCTTTGATGACCGTGTTGTCTTGAACACTTCAAAATTTGCTCCCAACGCCAAGGCAGCAGCAGCTGAGAAGCGAGGTGGCATCATTCATTTTGATATCTTGCCCAAGAACATCAACAAGGTCATTCAAGCAACTGAGGCTATTGAAGGCGATGTTGCCACTAATCTCAAGATGCTTATGCCTATGCTTACACCCACAAGCATGGAGCAACGAAGCGGATGGTTTAAGAAGATCTCTGAATGGAAGGCCAAGTGGCCTCTATCCAACTATGAGCGCTCTGACGCTCCTGGAGGCAATGGCCTCATTAAGCCTCAGTCCCTGATTGAGGAACTGAGCGATCTCACCTCTAAAATTGACAAGAAGACAATCATCTCTACTGGAGTGGGCCAGCATGTGAGTTTCTCATGAGCAGCCAATACTTTTAAGAACACCAACTGACCTGAAGTAGCAAATGTGGGTGGCACAGCACTACTCATGGAGAGAACCTCGATCATTTGTCACAAGTGGTGGACTAGGTACGTGATTCTCCGACCTTCCCTATTCCCAACCCCAAATTTTGTCATGTTTCTTCATTCAAGTTTGTAAAGACCTAATTCTGACTCTGGTATACAGGCACAATGGGGTTCGGACTGCCAAGTGCGATTGGAATTGCGGTAGCAAGACCAGACGCCCTCGTGATCGACATTGATGGTGATGCATCCTTCAACATGACCCTAACAGAGCTCTCCACCGCTGCCCAATTTAATATTGGCGTCAAGGTTATTATTCTGAACAACGAGGAGCAAGGCATGGTTACCCAATGGCAGAACCTGTTTTACGAGGATCGATATGCCCACACCCACCAGAAGAACCCGAACTTTATCAAGCTAGCCGACGCAATGGGCGTCCAGGCGAGAAAGGTCTCCAAGCCAGATGACGTTCGTGCTAGCCTCGAGTGGCTCATTAACACAGACGGCCCAGCTCTTCTCGAGGTTGTTACCGACAAGAAGGTACCTGTCCTGCCTATGGTACCAGCAGGTGCTGGCCTCCACGAGTTTTTGGTTTATGACAAGGGTAAGCTAAAGTTCCCGGGACTGTAACACGATGATATGACCACTTGCTAACGGCATTACAGAAAAGGACAAGGCTCGACGACAGCTAATGCGCGAACGAACTAGCGGTGTTCACGGTTCTTAGTCAGGGGTCTGGGAGGAAGTAAAGTTGTTGCGTAAAAATTGCCAGAGGTTTATAAGGCATATGGGTATCGTGATATTGCGTTGATTCTATGATAGTGATAATCTTACTTAACTATATTGCAGTTGAGGCAGTCGCCTTCTCTTGCCTAAAAGTTGTATATCCACTCACCCGTTTGCGGTAATCTGCTGAGTATTAATTTGTCACTGTTGCTGCATATGTCGATAGAAGCGGATCATTTTTTTTTTTTACATGTTTGGACTGATTGATATATGACGTTTCCTTAACGTCTGTCAGAAAACCCAGCCTCCTAAGTCTTGGGGTATAAAAACAAGTTGCCTAAGAACTATAGTCTAAGGAGCATAAAGTGGCTTACTAATTTCGTCTCTTGTGCTTCTAGCAGTCAGTTTTTCTGATAACTTCGAGGCCGTCACCGCGTTGACCATAAAATCAAATATACTTTCAACAAAGAAATCTCAAAAGCGAATTTACGAATATTGATAATATGCTTGTTTTTAGTAGGACAAATCCTCGCTCATATGATTCAAATAGCAAAATGAAGCTGGTGGTTATCTTAATCATTTGTATTATCATGGTAGAACATGTTTGTTTTGACATAAGGCTCATTAAGGCTACCTATCCACAATGCATCAACCATCAACCATTTCGCTTTTTCCTTTTTCATCCAACCATTTCCCATTAGCGGCGGATATGTGCCAAACTATCGTTATCCCTCATACGAGGTGTGATAGCGTGCCCATCTTTGAGTTCCATCATCGTGTTCTTTGAACCTGTCGAACCGACATACATGCATTATAGCAAAAGAAACCGTGGCGCCTGTTCATCATCGTAATATATAATAAAAAACAACTGCTGACCGCCCATTGAGATATCTCGAGTGCAAACAAGAAAAGAAGGTTCAGTGTCGTACAGTTACTAAGCATGGCTTGTCGTATGAATAACAAAAGAAGTAGTAGTATCATGAAAACGTGTCTCATTGTAAAAAGATTTGCTGAGGATATGTGCTGTTGTTGGTTTCACAAATACCAAACCTTCGCGTTGGCATCGGGCCTGTGTCCTCAGATTGACTAAACGGTGATCGGGGCGCGCGTAGCTGGCTTGTCACATTGATATCAACAAGCATCTCAACAAGTGCCTCTGCATCCTTGTGCAGGTTGGAAAGATCATACTTGGTGCAGGCCAGACTCCCGTCAGCTCGTGGCGCACGGTACGCCGCAAAGACGATTCCGCGGCTGGGGTTCGAGGGCTGTACTGAAGCGGATGAAGAGGTTGAGTTTCTCGAGGTGACCGAGCCGTTTCCTGACTCTTGGCCAGCGTAAAATGCATGAGCATAACCTCTTGCAAACTCATCATGTCGGAAGTTTTGGGGCCTGTACTCTATCCACCCAGGGGTCTTGAGAATCTTTCTATGGCTCGCAGTCGAGATCTGCACAGGCGCGTTGACATTTTCCATTCCATAGGAAGCGAGAAGACGACCGGCCAAGGGCTTGAACTTCGATCCTGGAGAACCCAAGTTGGTGGAAACATCAGATTGGCATTGAGACTGTTCAGTCCACAAGTTGACAACGTAAACGAAGTCGAAATCGTAGCGTGCAGCAATTCTGGCTGCCTCGAAAGCGCCGGCAACGGCGGGCTTGCTGGCGTGAAGGACAGGAGTCAATACTAGCAAAGAAGAACGATTGGAACCAGGAGTAGAATGTGCGGCAGTGGGAATGGGTGCCTCGACATTCGCTGTATCTTCGGGAGCCAATTCAGCAATGTCATCGTCACTTAGTTCAAAGAACTCATTGAAGTCTGGTTCTCGGAGCGTAGAACTGCTGATGGAGAGCCTGTTGATGTAAGGATCCTGGCTGGTCAGGCTTGCAGCCTTCTGTGCTCGTCGCTGTTCCAATGTTTCGGCAACATGGCGACAGATGTCTCTGCAGACAGCCTTGTTGAGAACATCGATCGACTTTGATGCTGTCAATTGCGCGATATGAAGGGGACGAAGCTCTGGAGAAGAGTCTGGGGTTGGAGGATTCTGCTGAGGCAGTGCTGGAAGTTCCTTGTCGCGAAAGTATTGAGGGCTTGAGGTAGCCTCGTCTTCCAAATCTGATGAAGGGGGTGTCTCAAGCCGCGGGGTGCCTGCTGCTCGCTTCCTAGGAGATCGATACGTCAGGCTGCGCTCGCTGGGGGCTTCCATAGATGATTTTGGGTCGCGAGTAGACGATGAGACAGAAGTCCCCCCTTGACTGGTCGGCGGCCGAGGGAATTGGTAAACGTCGAAATTGTCTGAGAGGGAATCTGCTTGTATAGGTATGAAAGAAGTCTTTAAAGGAGAGTATTGCGACTGGAGAGAATCCGACCGGCATGTGGGACTTTGAGTGTTGGTGAAGTCCATTTGATGAGGAGAATAAGAGCCTGGGAAAGAAGAAACCCGGCTCGCAGGCTGTTTCCTTAACTCTTCTCGCGCAGCCATGCGGCTAGTTTTTGGGCGGATGAAGGAAGGCGAAGGAAACTGAGGTATAGTGGGAGGGGCAGAAGCCGGCTGGACGGAAGCGGGTTGGATTGGCTGGATATGATTGTCCAATGCAGCTGGAGTCTTCTTCTTCGCGAAGAAGCGCTCGAGGCTCCCAAAACCATTGGCCATCTTGAACCTTGGTTGTGAGTAAGTGAAGTCGATGTTGCGCAGGGTGCCTGGGTCGAGGGTTGTTAGCGAATTGGAATAGGAACCAAGGGCTACCTCGTGCTTGGAGGTGCACGAGAGGGAAAGTATTGATTGTTACATACTGGTTCAATGCGATAAAGAACTCTGAATGGAGGAAAGGGAAATGCAAGAGGTACGCGAAAATGACTCTCGAGGTGAATCAGGGCAACTGGCAGTGGAAATTGGTATTTTGTGAGATCCAAGCAAGACAGCTCGGACTGGAATCAGAGCCTAATAGTGCCGTGAGTTCGGTTCTGATTCAGGTGTGACTGACTGTATCAAACAGTGATGAGGAGAGATAAGTGAGGGCCGGAATAGTTCATGGCCACAAGAGCAGATGCGACGTGAAATCTTAGGACAAATCGGTTATGGGAGGAGTGCTTTGTTACTCGGGTGAGGGAAAAGGTTGACTATGTTTTGAGAGTGCCAGTGAATTTCCGAGGTTGGTATCGCGATATAGTGCGCTTGCCTCCCTTGCTCTGCTTGTTGTTGCGTGCTGTAATGTCTGTGACACTGTGAAGCTTCACCACTATGAAGCTGTGCTTCTGCCGTTGTAGCAGGCAATATCGATGCTGATACTGCAAGCTGCAAGCAACAGAAGGGCACCAAAATGATGCTGTGCGAGATGTAAAGACAGTGGTGTAGACCGTAAAAAGCGAGAGAAGTTGCACGGCAGGTGCAACGGAGCGAGTGTATGTCGAAAGAAGGAACCTGAGTTTGGTGTTTGGGTTGCACAAGGAAGGAACCACTGAGAACAAACCGTCCCTCAACTTTCCAACTGCTGTTGCCGTTACGATGCAACTGCCTGTAGAGATTTCGAAAGGACAAAAAAAAGAAAACAAACAGAGTGGAATTCCTTGGAATGCTGTAATCTTAGTAGGTTTCAAACAAGAAGACTCTTGTTTTCTTCCAATATCATCATGAGAGACAGTCTGGGACAAAGGGAGACTTATAAGCTAAAATATCCAACGCTTAACAGGGAATGCCCACTTCAACGTTGGAGGGCAATACTGCGTAACGTCTGTGGCTATTGTGGGGAGGAAGGGGCAGGGATAGCAACGCCCTAGGCACTTGCTAGCTCAGTACCCAGCACACCCATAGCTAACGCCCCACACTCCCTTCACTCCCGCCGGGTCCCTTCCCTCTCCCTGCTTGGATGGACACAAACTGCCCAGGCTCCAGTGCTAGCTCCCTTCAACTTCCGCAAACCGTACAAGCTATTCAACTCGTCTGTTATACCCAGCAATACCTGGATAATCACCAAAATACACCCCGGATGCTACTGGACTTGCTTTTTTAAATCACTGAAGAGAAACGAGGACGCCACGGACGTTTACCAGAGATGGAAGTGTTTACCCAAGTTCCTGCGGATAGCGACACCCCATGCAACTTCAAATGCTCCAGACTTGTTCTCCTAGTTGAGTCGAGTGTGACTCGATAAAGGGTGCATTTCAAGTACATACTTATGGGCAACGGGATAATACATGGCGACCCTCAAAGAAAGAAATCAAGCCCCTCTTGGAACTCCCATGTTTGACTCGAACCTCCTTTGCGGCCCCCAGCCGACTCGTTTTATTCACACAATAAATCATTGGCACTTCCTGATGTCACCACCTTTTTCGAATATCCTTTGTCCAAAAGAACGCCGAGCCTATTATGCTCTTGAGATGCCAAGGACATGTTACGGAATAGCCACACTACTGCCGGGCAGAGTTAACCAAAGGCACCACTCATTACTGCAGGGAGAACCTTGCCCTTGATCTCTCCCCGAAAGACCAGACGTTGGGCTTGTTTTCTCCCGGGTATCCCGCAACAGCCCTAGTTCGAACTAAGGGTGGGTGCTTGCTTTCTCTTCCCTCTTCTTATGGTAAGTTGGATTTGGCTTAGCGCGCCTGTCATCACTTACAACCATGATCCTAGACTTATCCATATTCTTTCAAATCTTCAGGCTAGCAAAACAATGTAGCCAGCATTCCATAATCGTAAGTAACATGTTCTATAAACCATAACTTGTTGAGATGGCATAAATGAGCATCGCATTCATCCCACATACACTTTAATGGTTTATAGCCAAGATAACGGTATCGATCCGATAATGACGAGCTACCTGTTGAGCTGGACATGTATCAGCCAAGTATGGTTGGGAAGATTACATATATTCCGGGACTTTACTCTGGCACATGATACGACGGGAACCATTGAATCTCATATATGAGTAAGTAATGAATAGTTTGGCAGGTCGGCCCCCCTCTGCTTACGAGTAGCTGTAAACTGGTTGCCAAGGGCGTCATGTGTTACATCAGGACCCTTGAATCCTTTGCTCCCTGGACAACTATTGCCATAGTGGTTTTATTGAATGATGGCGCCGTAGCCGAGGAAGTTCCCAACTATGAATGCACAAACTCTTAACAACTTCCGGCTTCGGTTCTTTATAACTATCATGGGATTTTCCGACTGGATCACCGCTGAAGAGTCCTTGCATGATGAGAGAAGCGTAAAGTGCAGAGCCAATTGTATCCACAGGGCTCAACGTGGGACTCGGAGCTCTCCTATTACAAACAAACCTTTAGCTTGCCATCACAATCACCTACTGCTCAGCAGCCTAGGTGTAACTTTCCGGGTTTGTTCTCTTTATGCTGGCTAGCTGTTACTACAAGGCAGGGCAAATCTCCGACCGGCACTCTTACCGACACCATGAATATGCACGGGCATGTTTTCGGCCTGTGCATCGAACGAGCTTTATCAAGTACCGGAAGACAAACAAGGAGTCAGATTTCGCGAATATCATGCCCAAATACCATGTCCGAATCTCGAACTCCTCCCCTTCAACGGTTTTCTTTTAACGACTCCCAGTATTGTCGTTGGCACTCGAACAAAATCTGATACAATGCTTCTCCAGGAAAATACAGCAAGCGTTCCAGGATCGCAAGTGAGCTAGCAGGGTTTCTTCTCCATCTGTTTCTCAGAAAGTCTCTCGCTACAGGTTTAAATGGGTTCGAAAGCAGTAGACACGATGCTTTTTACTGTTCCGGGGAAATCTGTGCGAAGTGCTGTGGGAAATCTTTTGGGGGATGTGACCTTTTAACAAGCCCTTGTCCTTATTGTTCAGGACACCAGGATGTGGGTAGCATATTGCTTCTTTTGTCTCTTGCATGGCTGTTCATTGGTCATTGCTGCATGGGTTTCCCCGCCTGTTATGGCCGTGCAACTGTTCGTCCTCGGATTAGAGACCCCTGTCGGCCTACCCTTGACCAAGTCAGAGGGTCCATTACATCTAGCTCCTCATGCCCTGGTCTTCAGTTACGCTTGATGTCGAGGCTTGCATCTATCGACGTAATGACCTCCCAGAGGCAAAACTGACTGACATGAGTACGGTCACATGATACCGACTGATATGTGCCAAGGTATGTATTATTAGCATCGTCCCTAACGTCGCTCCAGACTCTGCAATCAAAGGAAACACAGCTTATTCATGGCCAACAGAAAAATCCATTCAATAGTAGTTTTACTTCTCCTTACAACAATAGTAATTGCCCGATTGTTTTCGGGTTACATGGACTTTTCGCCTCGAAGAAAATCATATTACCTAGCGATGGCTTTTTCTGAGAAAATTCTCATCAGTTATCACAAAATTTGCCTTGAACAATGTCTCTGCTAAGCTTTTTCAGGACTCAATCCCATCAATCAAAAGACTGTAAGGATCGGTCCCGAGTCGTGTCTACCCCGCTAATAACATTAGGGTTCACTAATAAGAACCTCCCTTGCTTTCTCTTGGTCATACGAGCCTGAGTCGCTCAGAGGGGCAGGTTGCAAGCGCATCTGTTTGAAGAAACTGCTTGATGTCTCATCTGATTTCCAGTTTTGGGTTTAACAAAATGATGAGATGGTCAAATCATAAGTGGCAAGAAGGCATCTCTTATCCGAGCATCCATCATAACTAATTAGTCCCTTTACCAGCCCTTGCCGTTGATCCTTTGATCCTTTGATAACAGGGCCAGTGCACTGGTGCTCTTGACAATGCCTCAGAAATGTATCTGTGTTCCTGCGAGACAGACCGCTGTTATGCTGGGTTCAAAACCGGTGTTGACCTGCAATACTGACGTGCTCTCTAGGTCATGGGCCTCTTGTCGGATACATCAAGAGGCTCGCCACTTCCTGTTGTGAGACTCGAGCACGAAAGGCTCATACAGACAATCTTATTTTCATACGTGTATGAAACTGCCTCAAGCCACGGCCGAAAAGAGAAGTACGTGCAAATTATTGAACCTGGAGCTCTGAATACCTCTTACGTAGTGAGCCAAATCGAAAGGATCGAGGTGTTGTCTGTTCTGCAAACCACGACTTGGCATACCGCGTTGTCGGGGTCATTCTAGTCGATCTATCACAAATTACAGCCAGAACCAAGGATTTTTGACCATGGTGATGCACCTCATTGGGTTATGAAATCTGATTATGACTGATATCTCACTTGATGTTGTGCTGTATCAGGTTTGTGGTCATATTGAGGAAACCATCTCATCAACAACCTACGGCAGGCTGCAGGAATGTTACCAACACTGCGAGGGCTGACTTTGTGCGACCTGGCGTTGCGTCCATTCATTCAGGTCTTATTGGTGGTGTCAATGATTTGACTGGCCACGGCATGCCTGCAACTCAGAGCAGAAGTCATCCATGTGCTGGATCTTGGAAACGGCTATCGTCTGTGCAGACCTCAGGGTAATAGAAAAGGCGGCCACTGTAAGAATACGAGACAGAATTAGTAGGTCACTTTATGCTACCTAGCTAGGCAATACTTCTTAGACTACTTATTATTGTACTCTAACAATCGGGAGGCCAACTTTTCTGTCACCTGCTAACCGGGGCCCCGTCCCGACGACAAGGACATGCCACATTGATGGAATCTCAGGATCTGACCAACAGTTTATCCGTAGAGTTGGGCTAAT